TCAGTGATGATTTATTTCTCCATGCTTCCACTAGATTATTCTAAAATCTTTCGGGACAAGAGAGAAAAGAAAGGAAAGATATTTTTGTTCTGAAGTTTGTGTTTTAGAGGGGATTTATTTTTCAAAAATGGTTTTTGTAAGAATGGATGGCCAATGGTAGGCTTAAGTGTTTAGGCTTGTTTGATTAAACACTTATGAAGTTAAGAAAATCTTTGTTTATTGACGTTGTGATTTTGACAACTTGGATAGCTTCCCTTGAACCTTTCTTTTTGAATTCGGTTCATGGTACCATCATGGATTTCCTTTTTGTTTTTTGATTGTCCTTATTTTTGCCTAAAACACCCTTTTGTGGCGTTTTAGCGGACCTATGTTTTTTTTTTTTTTTTTTATTTTTTTCCTACTTTTTTACGTCGGATGTCTTAATGTCCGACGTAAATTTACGTCGGTTTTGAAGATCCGACGTAAAATTTACGTCTCCCGCTTCTACGTCGGTACGTTTTCTGACGTAAAAAGCTGAAAATGTCTGACGTAATACACCTCTTTTGTACTAGTGATGAGACAAGCATCATAAGCGAATGAAAACTTGATGTTTTAGAGTGTGAATGTGAATTTATATAATTGTGATGTCACTAATGATCGGAGGATCTTTATGTTGAGGGTGAGCTTAGTTTGTGATCTCCTTGTGGCCCATGTTGATTTCATTTGGTTAGAACACCTTTACAAGACTTTGGATCTCTAATAAGCCATGTCTCACCTTAGTTGAGAGTGCACTACAAGAAATATTACATACAATGACATATAAAGTGTTATTATAGATATAATATATGTAAGTATAAATTTATCTCACATATAATTATATATATTTTTAGTATTAATTTTGAATAAGATTGAATAACATATATTATGTGTTAGTATAATTTATACTTACAGTTTTTAATAATATATCAACATATATTATATCTATAATATATATATATAAATAGTTTTTAATGATAAATATTATATAATTATATAATATGTTACAATATAACAATTTTTTTTTAGTGATGATAATGTTGAACAGCAATGGTGTAGTGATTCATTGACAATTATATATTCTAAAGCTATGTGTCATGCGTGATGGTTTTTAACTTCACACCACATGCTAAGTGAATTAAGAAGATAGGGATACATTGCATTACATGAATATCTTATTATATATATTGTATAAAATTATTATATAAGTATGTGCATATATGATTTTATGTATGATTAATGTTGTATTGTATATATGTGTTAATCGAAACAATGACTTGTGATGTGACTTGTTATGGGTAAATGATCTCTTATCCCAATGTGTTGATCTCATTTAATATAGATTAAGAATGTAGAATATAATATAGAATGTATTAGGTTATGATGAAAAAGTGAGAATGATTATATCCTAGAGTGATGTTATGCATGTGAGTCATAATAAAGACAAATTTAGATAAAAATTAAAGGATTGTATTTCCTAGTACAAAGAGAGGATATGATTTCACTAAGAATATACACTAGTGTATGCTAAAAGCATTAATAATCTTATAGATTTGACCATAGCGATAAGGTGAAGTTGTAGCATAGTGATTGTAAGAATGAGGGGAATCCACAAAAAGTGGTTGTGACTCTTGAAATTAAAGGTGCGAATTCAAGGTCATAGGTAAAAATAATTAATAGAGGAAGTGAGGGTAAAGACTTAAGAGATAGTAATTAAAAAGGATTGTTTAGGTAAAAAAGTCTAACCTATACCTAGAGTCTTTAAAGCACACTCACTGAAACTTATGTCTAATTCTTTTGTTTTCATTTTTTTTTCAGGAAAATATGCGAAAGCACGTGTTGACAGAGCTTGACACTTTGTATGCATGAGAATGTAACACAATAGCTTGGTTTCTTCATTGTTTGTATGACATCTTTGAAAAATAAATAAAATGTATTAGTGTGTATGGTATTATTCTTTTTGTAATTTTATAAATCATATATTTGTATTAATAAGATAGTTCCGATGTAATAAAGTTTTAATTTTTTTAAACTTTCACATTCTAAAAATGATTACTATAACAAAATTTATTATTATCGATAATTAGTTAATGAAAATAAATTAATTATCTCTATTTTATAATTTAATATAAATATTAATATATAATATATAATAATTACTAAAAATGTATTTATATCACACTAAAACTTATTATTAGCGATAATTATTTATTGAAAAAGACTTAAGTACCACATTAACTAGAGATAAGATAATTAAAGAGTATATAAATAGATAATAACTCGCATCTTACAACTTTGTTTTGTAGAGTTGAGTTAGACCTATAACTTATTATTCTAAGTTAATGTCAGATTACTCACCATTAATTATCAAAAAAAATTCAAATCCTACATCGATTATACATAAAATAATTAATTAAGAGATAAGATAATTAAAAAAAATTAAAGAATATATAAGTAGAGGACAAAATAAAGTCTTGCCTAACCTATTTTATAAAAAAAGTCTTGCCTAACCTAGACCTAATGTAAGTTAGGTTATATGCTTTTGTCGAGTTTAATAGTGACACTACAAGAAAATTGTTATATAGTGACACACATCCTATAGTGACACTATATATGTCACTAAAAATTACTTTTACTCACACAATAATTATAATATATGTTGGTATATTATTAAAAAGTGGGTATAGACTATAGTGACAAACAAAATATGTTGTTAAATCTCATTCAAAATCAACACTAAAATTGTGTGTAACTATATGTCAAATAGACATATACCTACATATATTGTACCTATAGTGACATTTTTTGTATGTCACTATATGTAACATTTCTTGTAGTGTGAGGAATTAATTGAAATCGCATGTACATGATTCTTAATTTAAACTCATGTCATTATTATAAATTTGATGGATAAAAAAATAGATATAGACACCAAACAAGTTAATAATATAAAAAGAAAAAGTTAGTATATCAATACACTTCTCAAAAATTAAAAATGTAGTTTATACAAATTTAAATACATGTGAGTTGTCATACATGAATATTCATACAAGTTTTAAATGATTTTTTAAAAATCATATCAAATATAATTTGAAAAAAGGTTACAATTCACAACATTTTCACAATTTGAAGGACAAAATTTATCAAAAAACTTATTTGGAGACTAAATTCGCAACAAAATCAAAGTTTGGGGATCAAAATACAGCTAAGCATATTAATGCTTTGTTTATACTTAAACAAAATATTAATGAATAGGTACAATTCGCAAAAAAATCTGCGAAAAAGAATTTTCGAGAGAAAATTCATAACAATATAAAAGTTTAGAGAACAAGACGTAATTAGGCCAAAAATATAATCATAAGCAATTTTGTAGTATGTAATAAGGAGCAAAATGATAATTTTTTGAAGAATTTTTAGGAATGAACAAAATGATCGCACAGAATAATATCGCTGATGTCAGATCACGATTTTCTACAACTAAGAAAAAAATAACTTAAAAATTAGCATAAAATTGATATATTTGCAAGTTTGCAACCTTAAAAATTTATAATTCCTAGACTCAAAATATGAACCACGAATTACAACTGCCTGTTCATGTATTTTTTCTTTTCTTTTCCTTTCAAATATTATGGTCCTAACCCCGCTCATATGTCGTATAATATAAGGAATGTATAAAAGAATGTCGTATAAGGAACTTGATGATCATAATAGTTTAGGAATGCATGTGTGATCATCTTTAGTTAGAATCTTTATATATAGTATATTCTTTATATATATAGTATTATCAAACAACTAACAAACAAGTTTGTGTTGCAATACGACAAAATGATCTTAAAAATGAAAGAGTTCATTAAAGCTTCTAAAAATGAGGAGTTTGCATTAACTTGGCCTTCCACTGAACTGCCATCATTTCAAGAGGAAGAAAAAAAACAGATGTGAAAAGGAACACATCTTTTCACACGAATTTGACTTTTTTTCGAAATGGGAACTATTAGAGAATTGGAGTTCGAATCTTAAGGTAAAATTTGTTAATAAAAAAATAAAATAAAAGGGAAAACAGACCTAGGTCAATTGCAATTTGAAAATACCATTACCAAGTACCAACCATTATATTAATCACTCATTTTTATTGTTGCCAGACAAGTTATGGAAAAGTAGAAATGCAGTCATCACGCAATTTTTGTCATAGTGGATTTTCGATTAAGCAATAAATAAACTATAATTAACAAGTAACCTATCTTTGGGTATAAATACTGAGAAGGCTAGCATCTTTCATGCATTCAGTATCACACAAACATAGTCATCAAGCACACGCAATCTCACTTCTCGAAACAAAGAGAAACATAGAGTGAGAGATTAGAGATAGAAAAGAGTGCAATGGAATGTTGTAAGAAAGTGTTTGATTGGTTCCGCAATGCAAAATCATATTTGATAATATTGAGCTTGCAATTTGGCTCTGCTGGCATGTATCTTATCACCATGGATGCTCTCAATAAGGGCATGAGTCATTATGTGTTTGTCGTTTACAGAAATGTCATCGCCACTGTAGCTCTTGCCCCATTCGCTTTTTTTCTTGAAAGGTTTATCTTTTTTTCCCCATTTTGAAATAATATCATCAAAGTGTGCATGCTTGCATATTCCATGCATATATAGAGATGATAGAATAGGTTTCATCATTTACGTTCATCATCAAGAACGTAACATTCCATCCACTTTTTCTTTGTTCTGATCATTAATGGTTAATTTGAACTAGTTATGGGTGATCACTTCTAGGTTTTGTTTTTGTTAGGATATATAGTTTGTATAACACAAAATTATATTGTTATATTAAAATATGTTTTTCCAGGAGCTAAAGATGTTTATAGAACTAAGTTCAATATCTGATATTATATTACTAATATAAAGTATTAAATGATTAATTTTCTAAAAAAAACTTATTGAGTACTTTTAGTAAATTTTTCATCTTAACTATATCTTTTTATTCTTAAAATTTGAACTCAAAATCTTACTTATTTGAGTTCAATTTTACTTTGATCAACAATATTTTTTTTTATCAATATATGTCTTTGGAAATGGTAAATTTGAATACTTATTTTTTTTTTTGAACAGCAAATAAAGTAAAATATATATAATATTGGTACAAGGGGTACCAAATTTGAATACTTATAATTTATATACATTAATTTTTTGTAATAAGATTTTTTTCAGGAAAAGAAAATTTCAATCAAGTCTTTCTGTCTATCATTTTTATTTTGAAAAAAATAAAATAGACGGTAGGAATAGTGTTACAAAGAAGAGTGTGAGAGAAGCATTGTTATGACCCAAACTAACAATGATAATAATTTCTTTTAGGACACTTGTTACAAATATAAAAAGTAAAATGATAAAAGAAAATTTATTTTTATATACTATTTTATTTTCTATTATTAAATGCCTCGTTGATTAATCATTCTCATTTTATTATAATACATTAAAGAATTTAATTGTCACATGTTTGTTGTCAATATTAAACTTTTCATACTAATAAGTAATAAAAAGTAATTTTCGAGATGATTTTCAATATATTTATTACAGAAACTAATGAACTTATTATATATAAAAATCTACAATTTAATGATAATATAAAATAATCACACTAATTTATTTGTACGTTAAATTTAGTATTTCAATTAGTTTACATGGGGTTGCTAATTAACTTAATATCTTCTTACTTTTTTTTTTCTTTTTTGCAGGAAAGTTAGGCCAAAGATGACTGTTCGGATATTTTCAGAGATTATGGCAGTGGCTTTTGTCGAGTAACGTCTTTTATTCCATGATACTCTTTATGAATAAAAAAAATGTTTGACATTTTAAAAATATATGCTCCTGTATTGCTATTCATAAATGTATTATTTTTATTGAAACAACATAAAAAACTAAAACGAGTTTAGCAAATTAATCTTGTGCTAGTTAACATGTTAATTAATTGTATTCTGTGTTATTATATGCAGGATAATACTTGATCAATGCTTCACCTTCTTAGGAATGAAGTACACATCAGCATCATTTGCCTCAGCTGTGATGAATTCCGTACCCTCCATTACCTTTGTACTCGCAATCATTTTTCGGTACGTAAGATATATATTAATCAAGTGATATATTAATTTATTAATTAATTACTAGCTTGAATAAAAAAGAGCTTAATTAATTAACAGATAACAAGCACAAAGCAGTGAATATCCTTCATAGATCCCACTTTAGCTTTATTACCAAGAGCATGGGGCATACAGTGTCGTAGTGGCTCTTCCATATATTTAATTTTACTCATCTATTTGTAGTGATATGTCTATGTCACCGCATTCATGAATGCTTTCAATGCGTGTCATTTTCTTTCTTCACCAAACTAATTAATTAGTTATTAATGCACCAATTTCTGTTTATTTTTTTTGAAAAAGAAGAAAAAAAGCAAAACACGTAATAGGTTGTTTCACCAAATTCATCGGACTAGCAACAGTCAAAGTGTCATGGATGGATTAATTTTTGTTTGATGTTATAATAGAACAAATATAATTATATGATAAAGATGTTTACTGTAGTTTTTTTTTTTTTTTATCTTATATGTTTTTATTATTTAAACATTTTTATAATTACGTGACAAGAAAACATTATTTTCCTTAGCCACTCGGTATCTACAACTCACAAAAGATTGTTATACCTTTTCAACATATTTGCCGATTAAACACATAAAATTTCATTATTATTTTTTTTCATTATCACATGATAAGTGTGTAAATAAATTATAAAGATAAAAACATGATTAATTAAAAAAGAAGAAATAATTGCTTAAAAAGTAAACAGATAAAACTAATAAGAGATGTAACCAATAATTGTAGTTAATCACATGAATTATTAAGTCATAGTCAATTCCTTATTGCTTCTCAAGGTTAGACGCCGATATAAGTTTTGTCTAGATATAGATAAATTCTATCCATGTTAGGTCATTTATGTCAAATCTTAGGTATCAATGTTTTAATTGATATAGATAAATCTTAGGTATCATGTGACGTTATTTCACAAAAAAGTAAATGAACATAACATTTAATCAGGAAAAAAAAATCATTTCTAGGTGTAATTGGTCATTTTTAAGTAATCCCAATTTTTGTTATCTAAATTTTGTATATTCACCATTGACCAAATCGAGAAAAAAAAATTGAAGAGTAATATAAATGATTTTATACATTCCACTTCTATACAATAGTCATTTGAACTTGTAGCATAAACATTTTTTCATTAGTAAAAAGATTACGATGTGTAAACAATAAATTTTAAACTTAAAATCTTATACATGTTATTATAATCTTTCATCTGTCAGTACAAAATTGATCCTAATGATTTCTAACATGAATCATTTACAACCTTATTATGTATATATATATGTTTAAAAGAGTTAGTGAGGGATTGTGTTTTTATCATTTCTGATTCTAATAATGTGTGATTGATGATTATATTTGAGCAGATTGGAGCGCATGAAGATGAAGGAGATAGGATGTTTAGCGAAAGTGATTGGCACTATGGTTACTCTTGGAGGTGCTTTTCTGATGGCACTGTACAAAGGCCCAATTGTTAACTTTGCAGGCTCATCAGGCAGCCACGCGGGCCAGCCCGAGAATGTGAACGATCCCTCTGGCAATCACTGGCTCATTGGCGCTTGTTTTCTCCTCATTGGCTGTGCTGGCTTCTCTGCTTTCTACATTTTGCAAGTAAAAACACACATATCTCATACCTTAATTAACTTTAATAAAACATTATAACCTTAGTTAATACGAGATTAATTTCATTAATCATTTTCAGGCCATAACATTGAGAAAGTACCCAGCAGAGATGTCGCTAGCCACGTGGGTTTGCTTCGTAGGTGCACTCCAAAGCAGCGCAGTTACTATTTTCATGGAGCGTAATACCCCTCATGTCTGGTCTATTTCCCTAGACTCTAGGCTTGTTGCTTATGCATACTCGGTTAGTTCATTTCCCACCAACTCTTTTGGGCCCAACCCAACCCAAGTCAGTCCTATATTTTGATTATTTATATATGGTGCAGGGAATAGTGACATCAGCAATCCAATTTTATGTGCAAGGCATGGTTATCAAAACCACAGGCCCAGTTTTTGTGACTGCATTTAATCCTCTTCGTATGATTATAGTCACAGCCTTGGCCTGCATCGTCCTCTCAGAGAAACTCCACCTTGGAAGGTACGTACTACTATATGTATTTCATTAGCATATATAATTGTAACATAAAAATATTAATCACGTTACACTAAGATTATTTTGCATGTATTATTTGCAGCATTATTGGAGGCGTGGTAGTGGTTATTGGGCTATATCTAGTTGTGTGGGGAAAAGCTAAAGAACATAAACATGCAATGCCAGCGTCCCCTGAAAAGGTGACCCTTCAACGCCAACAACAGCTACTACCAGTTACTGCACCCACCACCAGAAGTGATGAAAATGATAACAAAGCTCAGTTAGTGACAGTTGAAGAAAATAAAAACGGTGATTTGGTGGGAACCCAGAAACAGTAATCGGATCGCAAAGTAATGGTCCATGACCAATGTATCGTGACTTGGTTACTTGTTTCTGAAATCATTCCAAATCTGGATATATAGTTTTATCTTTTATATTTGCCAACTCTGAGCTTCACCTTCGCGTTTTACGAGATATGGATTTTATTTTTCAGCTTTATATTGTATTCTAGCATAAATTTATTGCAAGTCCAAAACAGGCTTCTTTGACGTGTAATGCTTACACATTTGGAAGCAAAGTATGGTTGCGTCCAACTCATGATCAGCTTTTGAGTTTTGCTTCGGACATGTGGGTTGAACATGATATCAGGATATAAAATGTTACAGAATGACGATTGCATTCTATTCATTTCGACTTATATTTTTTATTTTCTTTCTAATCGCGTGTTCTTCTAAGTTTTGTATCAATACTATATATAGTTACTAATAAAAACATTAAATAAATATTACCATCCATTATTAGATGAGTACTGCAGTGGGCCTTCGTCTAGTTATGGTTAAATTAAATGAATTTGAAGAACACAAAAACCTTACGCCATGAGTCGTGAATTTGAAGCTTCTAGTTACGTACTGTGCCAAGAGATGTTAACATAAAGCTCAATCAGTGACGAATAATTCTGTATAGTGAATTGAATGACGGTGACTCATCGCTATATATCAAAAATAAAATGGACCTCACTTTAATTTGTTTCATTCTAGATCGGGTCCCATTACCATAAAAATTGACACTGAGTCACTCACCTATGGTTTGTGCATAACTGATCATGCTATATTTGGATAATTTTGTGTGGATTCACAGTTTCTCCAAAAGAAATTAATTCTTCATTTATTTCTCTTATCCCAAAGATTGAAGACCCACAATGTTTGGGAGATTTCGGACCTATTTCTCTGGTTAATAGCATGTACAAGATTCTTGCCAAAGTTCTTGCAAATAGATTAAAGAAGGTTCTTCCAGCAGTAATAGATAAAAATCAGAGTGCCTTTCTAGAAGGAAGAAACCTCCTACATAGTGTGGTAGTTGCTAATGAGGTCGTTGATGAGGCAAAAAAAAAGAGAAAAAATTGTTTGTTCTTTAAAGTAGACTACGAAAAGGTCTATGACTCTGTCAATTGGAATTTTTTGAAATACATGCTTCGCAGGTTAGGGTTCTGTAACAAGTGGATCGCATGGATTTCAGTATGTTTGGAATCAAGTTCCATATCTGTTTTAGTCAATGGCAGTCCTACTCAAGAATTTAAACCTCAAAAAGGTCTAAGGCAAGGTGACCCACTCGTCCCTTTCCTTTTCATTATTGTTGCTGAAGGATTATCCGGGTTAATGAGAACAGCGGCCTCTAAGAAAATATATGAAGGTTACTTGGTGGGAAAGAAAAAATAGGAGGTTAACATGCTTCAGTATGCTGATGATACTATCTTTGTGGGTGCAGCTAACCTTAAAAACGTTACTGTCATCAAGAGTATGTTGCGGTGCTTTGAGCTGGCATCGGGTTTGAAGGTGAACTTTATAAAGAGCAGGTTTGGTGCATTAAGAGTGGAGCCTAATACCTTGGAGAATTATGCAACGGTATTGAACTGTAGACTGCTCAAAATCCCATTTTTGTACCTAGGAATTCCGATTGGAGCCAATCCTAGAAAAGTGGAGACTTGGGAGCCAATAATAGGAAAAATCAAGAAGAAATTATCCGTGTGGAAGCAGAACGTTTTATCCATGGCTGGTAGAATTTGCCTCATCAATTCAGTTCTAACCTCCCTTCCTCTGTTCTTTTTATCATTTTTTAAGATTCCTCGTACAGTAGTAAAGAAAATAGTGACTCTACAAAGGAGATTCTTGTGGGCATGTGAAGAAGGGCAACAAAAGGTTTCTTGGGTGAGCTGGGAGAAGATATGTAGGCCTAAGAATTGCGATGGGTTGGGGATTAAAGACATCTCCACTTTCAACGAGACTCTACTATCTAAATGGAGGTGGACTTTGTCTCAACAAAAGGAAGATCTGTGGTGGAGGGTATTGGACTCAAAGTACAAGGGCTGACATAATCTCAACAGTCAAGTAAATTGTAAATCTTCTTCCATTTGGTGGAGAGATCTCAAAAAGGTCTGTGGGGATGACAATCAAGCGCAATGGTTTGATAAAGCATTCATTTGGAAAGTAGGCCAAGGTAACCAAATCAGATTTTGGTCGGATAGGTGGTTAGGGGATGATTGTTTAGCAAAATGTCTACCTCGAGCATTCTTAAACTCCGAAGAACAAAATGATACGATAGATGACATGGGTAGTTGGGTTGGCTCAACATGGAAATGGGACCTCAAATGGCGTAGAATTTGGTTTGAATGGGAACTACCCCAGTTTAGAGATCATGAACATCTTCTCTCAAGAGTAAGTCTACAACAAGGAAGACAAGACACTAGTTATTGGATTCCAGGTTTGTCTGGGACCTTCTCAGTCAGGTCAGCATACAAAGAGCTACAAACATTAAGGGTAGATTGCTCACAGATTGAAAAGTTTAGTCAAATCTGGGATTTGCCTATCCCTCCTAAGGCTGCCATTTTTCTATGGAGACTTTTTCATAATGCATTACCTACTGCTAGTAACCTCTTGAGGAGGAACATAGCACTGGAAGACATTTCTTGCCCTTTCTGTCATGCTCAACCTGAGACAATCTCTCATATCCTCTTAACTTGCAATGTAACACATGCTGTATGGAATGAGTGTTTTCTTTGGTTGAATACAACAACAGTTCTCCCAGAAGATCCTGTAATGCATCTCAACTTTATCCCAGCTGTTCTTGACTCAAAAGAAAAAACACAAAAATGGAGGGTCATATGGTGTGCTATTGCTTGGAATATTTGGAATCAGAGAAATGCATGTGTATTCAGGCACGATCAGTTTGTTCAGCAAAAATTAATGAAGGAAATCATCCTCACAGCTTGGAAGTGGCTAAGGGTAAAACAAAACAAGTTCCATATCCCTTTCTACTTATGGTCAATCAACCCTGGCCTGTGCATTTAAAAAAGTACTTGACTAGTGTTGATGGGTCACCCTTAGAAGAATTATGTACTTCGTGGTGCTGGGTTACCTAAACTGTTATTTGTTTTTTTGGAGCCCCAGATTAAAATATAATTTGAGACCACAAACTCAAATTAGTTTTAATCAAGGGTATTATAACATTCTATTTATATTATGTATATAGATTTTGGTACCCCATGTACCTCTATATATAAATACAAATATTTATTAGTTGATAAAAAAAAACGGATTCTAAGTTTTCGGGACATTCTTACACATGTTTACATTCGCGTTTGAAACGTTAAAAATTAAGTTTAACGTGAAAATAATGAATAATAATTTCAACGTTAAACTTGATTTTTCACGTTTTAAACGCGAATCAAATACACGCTGCATTTTCTAATTTATATCTTTCAAGTTCCACAAAATCATTTCATAAAGCTACCTATTAACTTTTGCATCGAAGCTACAATTGACATGACTTTTACACGTGTTTAGCTTTAATTTCATACCTAAATATAATCTTCAACAAAAAAGAAAAAGGTGTGATACATTAAGTCAAAGTTAAAAGAATTAATGTGCAACCCTAGCAACAAATAGTATTGGTCTAATCTAGAAGCAAGTTAGAAATAGAGTCAAAATCAATACACAATGTATTCAAAACCGATTGATTGATGAACAACCTCGTGATTCATGATCTTCACTTACTTTTATATTGTTGCACAATGTTTTAATGCAAATATTTTTCCAATTTCGTTTCTTTATCATTTATATATAATATCTTTTACCATCAGTCCTAATGTTCACCAATAGATATAGTTTATTCTAATATGAACGTTGAATTCTACACAATTAATGTTTATTTAAACCAAAGTCGATCACATAATTACAGCTCCACCATCAACTCAATATAAACGACAAATTGTTGTATACTGCGTCGATTTTCATATCCCAACTAACATCACTACATGTTTGTAGCAGAGCAACGTCATTTTCAAGTAACTTTTATTTATTTATTTTAATTATAAATTTATATTAGAATAAGAGACGATTTACTAAAGTCAATTACCATCTTTTTTGAAGATCATATCCGATTGAATTTTTATGTAACTTATAATTATTATAATTTAAAAGAAAAATGAGCAGAAGAAAAAGAAAACTTAAAATTTGATTAATAAAATGAATAAATAATTATAAAATATGTTGTATAAATATAAAAATCCTCCATTAAGAAAAAAAAAAGTATGATTTATATCCATGTGTTATAATCACAACAATGATATGTATCGGTTAGATGAAATAGGACAATGGAATAATATTAAAGAAAAACGCACACAAGAATTACCGAAACCAGAGTGGAGGGGTATAGAATCATTGAATTAATTAAGTTAGGCCTTCATTCTTTTTGGTGCATAAAATAATGTTTTTTCTTTAATTTGTAGGATGTTAGATATGCTTCACCACACTCTTCATTAATTATATTCTTTTAGACCAATAATAGAAGTGAAGTACTAGAGATGATTACGTACTAAGAATGTTAGAACAAATATATCCATTGTAGCTAGGTACGGTTATACGTAAAGACTATGGCTATATTATTCCTCTATTCCTATCTAATTGATCATATATATATATATA